TGTATTTAATTGCAGACACACTAATGTCCGCTGTGAGCGGATCGAGGCGGGTTTGGTGAATAACAACCATTCCATATAGACAGTCTAGTCTAGTCGGTTGGCCTTTTCTAAAGAACTCTATTTTTAACTGGACTGGAACATCTGATAAATTCAATTGCATTAACATTTCCATTGTGATTAATAATGCGAATTGTTTAATAACTTAACAATGGATATAACCAGGGAAGGCTTTTATATCGGGATATAATTAATGCTGCCTTATAATTGATTTCTAATGCATAGTTTTAATGTTAATTATTTAGACAAATTATATGATTATGAAAGACTGTAAATCTTGGACTCTGTGTTTGTTTTACACTTTGCTTCTTTACAGATATTATATATATTTTATAATAACTATGACATAAATCACATTAGGTTAACGTCTAGTAAGGAACCCCATACGACGCGACTTGTCAATTGAGCTGCCTTTCTGGTTCAACAAAGAAATCGGAATATAGCCAGGTTGCTATATCGGTTACATAATTAAAGTTGCAGACATTTCAATTTGAAATTAACATCGGTTTTAGGCGCAACTTTGAAAATGCACCTGGGATGGCTATGAAATACCCGATAATTGGCCAACTGCATTGGGACACAGCCGAAGTCTGAGCAAATTTTAATGCTCACAACGTCTGCCCACACGGGATTGCAGGTACATATGTACATATAGCTGAGCTATAGCCTAGTCGATCGGTGGATCGGCGGATCGGCGGATCGAAGCACAACCCACTTTACGAGGTCGGCCCATAGCAGCACGTAGCCATTAACCATACGTATTGCCCAGTCGAACATTACAACGAAACCTCGAAACTGAAACGAGACCATAGCTAAATATCAAGTATACGGGCCGCTTATCGGTTCGCTGTTGCGGTAATTATAATGCGCCATAGTCACGCCAGACACGCTGCATAAATATTTAAATTAAATAATAACAAATGCTAGAAATAAATAAGCCGGGCAACTGTAAAAACAATACGTAATGGCGACGAAGGGGCGCACGCGGGCCAACTCCCATTGACTAATGTTGCTGCGGGGAATTTGGAATTTGTCTGGGCTTTTTTTCGACTGCCGTTGGTTCCTTTGTTCTGGCCAACATCCTCCCAACCAGATAGCTCCCCGCCCGCCTTTTATTTTAATTTCTGTCGTGGCTCGAGTTTCAAAAACCAATAATGCGGCTGCCATCGGCAACATCAACATCCAACGACGACGACAGCAACATGGCGCACAACAAGCAATAAAAATGGCATAAAGTTCAAAATGAAAGCTAAACGTTGCCTCCCCAACGCCCCGCCCCCAGTGAGTACGAATGCGACCCCCGATCTGCTGTGAGCTGCATAAAAATAAGTAATATCGTAAAATTACAGGAAATAAAAATCGCAACGTAAATACGTGTAAGTGCGAGAGTCGGCCAACTTTCCCAGTTGCTGAAATTGGCAGTAAAATTATGACAAAGGCAAGAGAAAGATGGCAGCAGGAAAGCAGGAAAGCAGAAAAGGAAAAAACTGGATGGGCGAGAGCAGAAATGTAACAGCCTTTCTGGGGGGTGTGGAAAACCCATTAAAGTTCAAGTCGGACATTACTTGGCCATATTCTGGGCAAATGTTTTGGAAAATAAATAATTCCCAGTTGCCATAAATGTGTTTTCGAGGGTTGTTCAACGAACGCAACGGACCTGCCTCGGCCGATAAAAACAAATGAGATAACTTTGGCGAGCAACTCGAGCAGAATACACAAGTTCGGCGAGGCGGCAAATGGCAGAGATATGGAAGTATTTTCTAATCATTCTTCGAGCGTAATCCCGCAATTAGGCAACCTGTCTCCATTCGCCATTCAACTCAATTACAATAATCGGGCTTAAAAGCATTTCAAAGGCCTGCCTCCGAATAGGAATTCGATATAAGAACTGGAAAGCAATTCAATTCTTCTGAACTATTGCTATAATTTTCAGTATTAGCTTTAATGTGTAATATAAAATGTCAATATTCCAAAAAAATATCTCTGGTTTCTTCTACATCTTCCTCCCTAGACGACCATGGAAATTGCTCGTTAATTTGCCTGAAAATCTTTAAGCGGGAAAGGGACTTCTATAATAATGTAATGTATAGCGCCAGTCTGGGAATTAACAAGCAAACTGCACCAGCAATTGCGGCTGCAACAGCATTATACATAGCTCCCCATGTTGCATGGATATTTCCTCTACAACAGCAACAACGAACAAGTACAACTGCAACATCAGCAATTGCAATTACCGAGTGTGTGTAAGGCACCATAATCATTTCAAACGGCAAATTATGACAGCGAGGAGGGGCCCACAATAACAACAATCGCATCGCAATTGCAACTGCAACTGCAACAAGCACAAGCGAACAGCAGGCAAATGAAATGAGCTTTTAATCAATTTCCGGTATTAAAGCCTAGCCAAACCGACCAACCGACCAAGCCATCCGACCATTCATTCATCCTCTCCAACCTTCCCACTGCTGTCTGCTTTGTTGCTGCTCCTGCTGGCCGTTATTGTTGTTGCATTTAATTAACAAACAATTTATATTCATAAACCTCAATCGGTCACATGCAAATGCACATGCGACTATGCCACATGAAATGGTGCGGAGAGAGAGCACGGGAAAAATATGAAGTGGGAAATTGTTTCACCCAGCATAGATAGGGGTGAAGTGGATGCTCTTTTCAAGTATGAAATATTGTAATATTAACATAAATATTTATGCAATAGATCTAGAAGATCTAGATTTTACAAGAGCCTTGAAATGTTCTATGATCACTAGCCTAGTGTTACTATCTTTGAACAAAAATGTAAGTTAAAGCATTAAGATATTTTTAAAATATGATTATATTATCTTTAACTTTACTGTGGTCTTGAGTGACCCCTTGGATAGAGTGCTCAAATCAAATTTCGCAACGTGAATGCATTAAATATTGCAAATGCGTGGCGTGGCATAAAAAAAACATGTGCACAATTATAAAAAAATATATATATGTACAGTGCCGCTCATCTATGTATGCTTCTCTTGTGCACGAGTGTAACTTGGCCTTTTGTGTAACAAAACGTGGCAGCGGAAAAGCGGAAAAGAGCATTCGCCACAAAATGCAACAAAAGCGCCCAGAGTGCAGCAACAATACGAAGCCTGATTGGGGGCGCCCCGTTTTCGGTTTTCACATTTCACATTTCGGATTTGTTGCTGCCACGTGTTGCCAGCACAAACACACACTCTGGGACACACGAGTTTGAGCTGCAGGAGCAGCGGATACTCGCCACAATTGGACATTCTGTCCAGGAGTTGAGAGGGTGCACAGAGAAAAGAATACACAGATTTAAATAAAAAGCAATATAGAAATTTGAAAAATACTAATCTGCTTCTAAGTCAGCAAGTATATTATTTTCCAATATTTTCAGAATATTAAACCAGCTCAACGATCTACAAATAATACTGATACCTTTCTCTCTGTGTGCCCAGAATTAGCCCACGTCCTGACACCCAATTAACCCCTGGCATGCACAAAAGCGAAACGCACCGCAGCTCTCTGGGAGTGGTATCTAGCAGCTTAGCAAATCATTAATTAAACCTAGCCAAAAACAGAAACCAGACAAAGGCACAAGAAATTATTATAATGAACACGCATGGGAAATAAACGCAAAAAGCTCTGCGGCTGGGCCCAGTCCCCTTTTCGCCATCCCCCGGACTAATTAGCATGCCGAAATGTGTTCGGTGCAGAGACCACTCAGAGGTCACGGCGAGGTCCAAGCCTCATTTGGTGTGGAGAAATGGGATGGGGATGGGGCGGGGGTCTGGCAGGGAAAACACATAAGTTGCAGCCACAAGGGCAAGAAACATTAAGGCAAAAGGTCAAAGGGGTGGGGGAAATAACTATCGGAACCGTCGAGAGATTTGCGTTTTCTGCAGATCTGACAAAAAGAATTTGTATAAAAACTATCGCATTAATATTTCTACACGATGAGTTTAACATAAGCCAAGGAGGTCAATCCATTAATATATGGGAATTAATTCAAGAAACGATCTTTGAATAATAAAAGCAATTGATCAAACCAATATTTCCAATTAGATATTAGCCAAGTTTAAGATTAAATTAATCATAATCAAATAATACGTATCTTACTATCCTAATATAATATTTGTAAGTTATATGGTAGTATTTAACAAAAGTGATTTCACATTCAAGAAGCGTATTCAAAGAACCAGTTAAGATTGCCAATATATATACATATTAAAACCCATATATATTGCACATTAAAAAAGCTGCCATTTACATGATTTATATGTAAATATATAGATTTATTACTCGTATACAATGGGCACAGTTTCATGGCTGATATATTTATGTACAAGCTGCTATTTGTGTCAGTGGAAAACATAAATGATGATTATATACGTCCGGTAATGTGAAGTACTCACCGACCGAGTGGAAAGCAGGCAACATTGTATGGCTGCAAATTGCACGAGAACAAATATAAATATGAGTACTTGTACATCGTGCTCTGCGGCGGATTCAGTCTAACCACAAACTCATTACGGCCCATTCTCTCCGGCCCAGTGCCCCTCCGCACCGCTCTTCCGCTTTAATGACAGACGAATTTCGTATAATATAGACATTTTCTATGGCCCCGACTTGGCCAAGTTGAAGAACCGAGGAGGAGACAAAACCCAGCAAGCTGAAAAGCGACCTGCCAGAAACCACAAAAACTTGCCTTTGGTTATTTTGTGTCTGGCATTGTCATTGCGGCTGATGTTGCCGCTGTTGCTGATGTTGCTGCTGTTGCTGCTGTTGCTGCTGTCACGGCTGTTGTGCTGGCCAAAACGTGCAATTAAATGGTATATAGAAGCTGCCGATGCCATAAGCCGTGCCTGCAGCCGTTCTTCGAACACTGAAAGCCAAATCCCCAGAGATGTATCAATATTTCATTGTTCAAAATGCTTCTTGCATGATATTATAGATTGTATGATGATGTAACACTTGTCGAGGAGAGACTTTTAAAATATGTGTGTTTTGTCATAGTTTATTTACACTCTCCTGCGAGTGGCCCTCCTCTTCCTATTATTGTGGCGGAGGATGCTTCTCATGGGTGTAGCTGGCTGCAGTGCATGTCATCATCCTCGTCGGGCAGGGCAATCGTCTGGGCCTCCTGCAAGGAACGCTCGGCCTGCAGCTTCCAATCCTTGTCTACCTTCATCTCTGGAGGCAGTAGAGCTGGTGTCGCGGCAAATTTCAGCTTAGGATCACCCATCAGCTTGCCAGCCAGCCAAAGAAATGGTTTATCAATGTTGTAATACAATTTGGCGGAAATATCGAAGTACTGCATCCGATAGAAATCAAAATTAGTTTCCGGAGATGCAAACTCAATCAGATACTCTCACCTGCAACTTATTCTTGCGATGAAAGTCAATTCTCTTCGCACTAACCCTGCGCTCCTTAATGTCGATCTTGTTGCCACAGAGAACGATCGGTATATTCTCCCAGACGCGGGCGACATTGCGATACCAACGGGGCACGTTCTTGTAGGAGACGAGCGATGTGACATCGAATATGATGATGGCACACTGGGCCAGGACGCAGCTCGTGTCGAGCAGGCCTTTGAAATTCTCCTTGCCAGAGGTGTCCCAGATGTTGAAGCGGATGGCACCGCGATTTGTGTGGAAGATCAGAGGATGCACCTCAACGTCACGAGTGGCCACATAATTCTTCTCGAACTCGCCGGTCATGTGGCGCTTGACGAATGTCGTCTTTCCTGTAAGGCCATCACCGACCAGCAAACACTTGAATGTGGGTATATCCTGTCCTTCTTGAGCCATAGTTTTCTGACAAAATCAAATGTATCCTTGTCGCGTCAGAAAAAATATGTCAACATTTGGCATTTTACTCTGATACTGCTGTATTAAAAAAAAACAAAATATGCATTCAAAAACTAACCAAACGCGTAGCGCGTTTAGGAAAATACACATTATTAAAACCAAGCGAAAATCAGTTTATATAAATCTTTGCATTCTAAAAGTAAATCTAAATAAATATATTTATATTTCAATTCTATTTATAAAAAAAAACCAATACCATCCATTTTTATACAATACTACTACTTATATAACATTATGTTATAACTCTTTAGACTAATGAGTTCAATTTAACATAACTTCTAGCAGAACAATTATCAAAAATCCAACTAATTTTGTTAACTTTAAGAACATGCAATATAGAAAATTAAAGTCAAAATTTAAAGGTCTTGGGAAACCAACTTTTTGTATTTTGTACTATTTCTAATTCTAATTAGTATATAGTATTTTATGAAGAAATAATAAAACAGTTACAGACACCTTATTATACAGCATTGTATGCATGTTGGCATTATAATCAGTATGTTTGGTTTTCTCTCTGTGTAGTGAGGTAGAAAGAAGCCAACTTATTGGCAGTGGCTTGCCAAATGCAATGAATGAAAATTGCACAAAAAGAGCGGCAGAGGCCAGAACACAATTACGGCCAGCGGAGGCATTCACCGGGCAAATTATTGATTGGCAACCGCAGAGATGCATTCCGCCGAGAGACACGAGGATGCAGATCTCTGCATCTCTGTGTCTGCAGAATCATTCGGGCGCTCACTAATGATGATGACGATGACGCTGGCAACTGGCAACTGGCAACTGGCTACTGGCTACTATCCACTCGCCGTTGGCCATCGAATGCTCACTCTCTTCTTGGCCGCCATTGACATTGAAATCTGGCAATTTGCAATCACTGCAATTAGTTTTTATTTCTTTGCTGAGCCAAACGCCTCGCGTATCGTCGCGGGCATTTCGTACAAATTATTGCCAAGGATCCGGAGTGCGGGGAATTTTCGCGGAAATCATCGGGTAATGACAAACGATGGCAGCTTGCATAAGTTTGCGAAGTGCAATTGCGAATTTCCAATTGCGAATGTCTCGGACCCTGAGAGACCGAATCGCAATTGCAAATCGCTAATTGCCACTCGATTATTTATAACCGTGCCTTTTCAAAGTTCAAATGTGCGTTTTGTCGGAAGCAAATTGCTCATTTAACGCGTCTATAAATAGCACCACGCAATTCAGGCGACGCAATCATCAAGTCGCCGTTGCGGGGCAAGGTGGCGTATACGTAATGTCTGATATGAGCTGCGGGCGAGGACAGACAGTGGCTCTGTGTGCCACAGTCAAAAGGGGTTTCCGCCCAAAAGGGGCCGCTCTTCTGTGTGTGTGTGTTTACGGCCTGTCATTCTGTCGGCAAGTGGGTCACCATCGTCATCACCACCACCATCTCCATCGCCATGGTGTAGAAGCCTTGCTCCACATTGCTCCCAGCGAACATTCTGACTTCCGGTAATCTCGGGCAAACTGCGGTAAAGTGAATGAATAAATGGGAATATTGTGAATGGAAGCGGCATAAGATGTTGGCGATCTACTTGTGGCTTATAGCCAAGGCAGATGACTGCACAGCGGGAAATTGGGTCAATGAATAAAGTTCAGAGACCAGAAAATAATTACTTTTCCATTTGAATTCCGAAAAATAACTCTAATAGCTATTAGTATATTACAAAATATTCTAGATATTCAGAGATTAAAGAAAATCTCACTCTAATTTCTTTACCTTTATTTGATTTATTTTATACAGATGTTATTAAGTTGTTGAAGTATTATTTTTATTACATTTTTAAAAAGAAGTATAGACAAAAATTGACTCTTTTTTTAGTGTAAAAGCGAGAGTAACTCTAAGGCTAAAATTATTTCCACACTCCGAGCAGCCTTTTCATTTTCCATTCGAGTTTATGCAAAGCGAAAAGCATTGATAAAGAACAGGTTTATGTTGATTGCTTGTCTTCGCTTTTTAAGTTTCTTTTTTTTGTAATTTTTGTGCGGCTTTTCGAGTGTCTTTGGAGTGTTGGTGCGTAGGCAAGAGTCCCCGTTCGGGTGAAGTTCCATTCCCAATCCCTGTCACATTAATCACGGCAACATTTGCCATGCAATTAAGCAAATGAAGCCTGCATTTAAGTGCTGACAATGATGATGATGATGGTGGGGACTTGGACTTGGACTCGGACTGGGAATGGGACTGGGAATGGCACTGGGACTGGGACTGGGATACTCGGCGAAATCATTAAGCTAATGTGGTTAGCTGAACATCGATAAGTGAGTGTGCCCCATGGGCAGAGGCGGCTGGCGATGTGACTCCTCTTAATGCGCATTTAATACCCCTTTGAGTCATTAGAAATTCAATCGAGTCGGTCAAAATAATTGAGAGCCCTCCCAGCCCCTCCGTTGGCCAAGTGATTTGGTTTCAATTCGCGACACTCGTCTCTGGCAATTCATCAAACCCGAATCACAAATGCAATTTACTGATTTTTGTGATGGCAAATTAAAAAGGCGCACACACTGGCACGTAAAAGACAATTGACGCAGACCGCAATTCAATCAGTCAACGTCGCATTGCCCGTCTTATTGGCCAAAATGGCCAAATGGCCAACATATACCGGCTAGCAACGAGAAGGTGAGAATGTCAAAGGCGTAATTAAATTATAAAATTTATATTGCAATCATTTGGCACTTTCTTTGCGCAACAACAAAAAAGGTGCATTTCGAATTTCGCTGAAATAAGAGCGTGTTTGCCTGCGCGAATGCAATGAAACATTGCGCATTCGCCACGTTGCACGGCCAAAACGAAATTGCATTGAAATGCAAACAAAATCTCATTGGAAGCAAACACACACATTACCTTGCTTCACAACAACAACGAAGAGAAAATCCCCTTGAATAAATGTTTTCAAAAATTTCAAATTTAATAAGAAATAAATATTTTTACAACCACAAAAAGGAAAAACAAGATTAAGAATATCAATTGTGAGGAAATGTGTCACTGAATCACTGAAGTTTAAGACAGCCTTTTTCTTTGATCCTTATATTTGTTAATTTATATTTAAGTACCATTTATATAGTTAAAACAAAAATAGAAATGACCACACTTGTAAAGAGTATTTCTCGTACATTTTCCGAGGCTGCCTTCGTCGCCGTGTGTAATTTCTCGTGCTCACTTTTCCGGCACCCCCTTTACACCAGATTCGCCGCCCGTGGCCATTGCACCCCCCTTTTAGCCCCTAAAGCCCCTAACCCCACATCCCCTCTCTGTTTTGGGTCGCCAATCACGTGTCGCAAACATGATTTATTTCGTCAATTTATGCCAAAAGTGTAAAACGATTTTCTACCGTGTGTCAAATGAAATATTATGACGTGCACTATCATTTACATGTGTTTTACGGCCACTGAGTGTGTGTGTGCGTGTGTGTGGGTGTGCGTGAGGGGGCGTGGCATTGCGTTTAGGAATGCGACAGTCGATTGAGGCCGTCCCTTTCTAACTGCCTCGTCATGCCTTCCGTTTGCATGTGTTGGCATTTTACAATTTAGCAAAAAGGGAAATTACATTTAAATTGAATTGTAAACCGAATAGATTGAGGGGGGTTTTCGGGGGTGGTGGGAGGTGAGCGGCCAGGGGCAACCTCTCCGCATTTGAATTTTCCAGAAATTTACGATTACGATTGAACACACAAATGGAATTCAACTCTTTCTGCGGGCGGTTCTCTGTGTATAATTTAACATATATTTGGAAAGCTATCAGCCGTTACACAATTTCCCTGAATGCCAAAATCTGGCCATTTTCCACATAAAAGAATATTACTGAGGGAATTCCAGTCAATTAGATAGGTTTTTTTTACATTTCATTCATCGTTTATGAGCTTTCAGGGATAAGTTTTATAGCGGTGGAAAACTCTGTGTGTAGGCAATTAATATATATTATGAATTAAATCAACAACAAATGAATGCATATTTTAATTGTACATCATGTAAATAATAAAATAACTATTTATTTATGTATCCTCCGACGCCAAACGTATACTAAAAAACATTAAACCACATTAAACATTAAAGTAGTTTGTTGATTTAATACCGTAATTTCTGCAGCAGACAATGCTACATTTATATTTATCGTGGCCACATCAAGTTCAGCAAGCACACACAATGTACATGTGGGAAATAAAATTAAAATTTTAATTTATTTAGCATATGGAATATTCCGCACAAAACCGCCTGAAATCCAAACACAAAATTAAACCCGTATTTGAATTGCAACATCGGTAATTGAGGGTGCGGGAGGATGCGGTGGAGAGTGACGGAAATAAAACATTTCTATTTAATCTCGTTGCCATTGAGCAATAATGGGGCTGAACTGGGCTGGGCTGGGCCTCTTTTAGGGATCTGGAAAATGCAAATAGCAAGCGGATTGCACAACCGCAAAATGCCGACTAATTAAATTAATAGGAAACAAATGCATAATGAGGGCAGGAGAGCCCAGTCCAATCAGTCCGCCAGTCAGAGCGCCAGTATCATGTATCTGTATCTGCATCTGTGTCTGTATCTGCAGAGTCAATTAATGTTGTCCGAGCTGATGGTGATTTAAGTGCAATTAAAGTGCAAATTCTCAAATATTTTTCTGCTGAGACGCCGCACCGCTCCAAAGCGATATGCAAATTAAGCAAATGCCAGCTAAGCTATCTATGGCCAAGTGCAGATACAGATACATACATTTGCCCGTATCCACGGGACAAGAGATACCGAATAGCAACCAGCAACTAGCAGATACCAGAAACCAGACTTCGCAGCAACCAGCCACTTTTATCGCATGTGCAATTTCTTGGCCCACGACGCCAGCGACGATAAATGCAAATCTTGACAGTTTTCTTTGAAACATTTTTATTTATTTTCGGTTGCAGTTTTTCTGCCTGTGCTTTTCTTTTCGCCTCTTTGCCTGGCTTTAGTTTTCATTGTCTGCCGTCTGCCGTCTGCCGTCTGGCTTTCGTGTTG